ATTTAATTGGCCTTAAAATTTGCCTGGTGATTTGTCTTTGTCATTGGCAGTGAGCCAGCTTATGACAGGTTACACACAAAGAGAGAGGAGAGAAAGCATGTGTCATATGAGCTGTTAGAGTCCAAACTTAAAGGGCCACTCCACCAGTTTTACATTTTGATTAATTTATTGGTCATGTTGAGTACTACTAAACAGGGAATGGCATTATGGGAAATGTAGGTTTCATTGTTTAACTAAGGACTTAAGGTCGGGATATCTTAGCCTCTGCTGTTTCCATTCTTTTTCAATCTGTCTCTCAAAAGCCAAGGGCTGTACCTGATTTAGAATTTTGTCATATATAGCCTAGACTGTCAGAAAATCATTTGGCATGAATTTCAGTGATGATTTCAACCACATTAACATTGGTATTCAAATACAAAAGAGTTACAAATCTCACCTTTATATGTCTTGTCCTAGTGGGTTTTGTCTTTTTCTCTTCTTTCTGGGCAGCAGCTTGCTAAATAGTGTCATTGGACCTTATACATCCATGCATCGGACAGCAACCCAACTAAAATTCATTTAGAACCAAAAAGCAAACTGCCATCCATCCATGTTGGAAAAATACATCTGAAATAAGAAGCATTTGTTCTAGGTGTGTCATTGTTTTGATACCTGTAGCACAGATGTGTCAGACAGCCGTATGTTTGTGTTTCGAAGGAAAACAGGCTATTTTGAATGGTATTCTTTTTTGCACTTTGTCTGCTAGATGTGGCAGTTTTACTGCTGTGCTGACCCACTGCTGCTCAGTGAAAATCTCTGAGCACCAGTTTTGTTGTTTTTTACACTGAAATTGAAAAGATTACAAGGTCTGTTATGAATGATAAATTTGTACAAGTTCCTTCCTTTCTCAGAGGCAACTGAATTCACTCAGAATGCTCATTGCGTCAACACAAGGGGGGTTTCTTTGAGGAGTGCAAGATTTTATCAGGTCACTTTTGCACTAAATTGCTTAAGGAATACAAGATAGAATACTACCTCGTCACACAGGTCCAACCAGTCTGGGTGAATGAGATGTTTTTGTGCTTTATGTACCAAACTGCCTCACCTCCATATATTAGCTGCCATGTTATCCACAGCATGTGATGTGAGTGTGAGCATTCTGTAATCAACACTTTCTCATGTGAATCATTTCAAAAGGCTATTTGATCACCTGCATTTGTGGAAAGCAAGTCCCTATGGCAGTGTGATAAGTCATTACACAACTTGAATTTTAGTTTAGTACATTATTAATCCATGCTCAGCCAGGCTGAAAGAATTTTTCAAAACTGGATTTCAGGGTATAGTCCATCTATTTTTCTTAAATGTGTTCAGGTGTAAATTACTCAGAGGTTAGTCTTTGGAAGATTGAGGTAAAGGGATACAAAATATGATGAGAATAGTGAGAATCCACAGTTTGCATTAGCTATCCTAAACGTTTTGGCACTGTTTAGCTGTTTCTAATTCCTGGAAGAATGTACACCCGCCTCTGGCGTAAACTACTCAGAGATTAGTCTAGGGAAGACAAAGGGGTACAAAATATAATGAGAACAGTGAGAATGCTTTTTTGTTTTATCTGTGTATTTGTATTGTGTTAAACACTTTGAATTACTGCATGAAAATGTGCTATATAAATAAACTTGCCTCGCCTTAAGCCCCTTTTAGACAGGCATTACTTTCCATTAATCTGATGGCGTCCCAACATGTTGGCTTCATGTATGAATGAGCCACTTTTTCATAAATGTCTCACTGGCACAAAGCTGGACCTAGCGATATTCACATATTACTCTCCCAGCACAAGTTTGAGCTGCATTCATGTTGATGTATAAGCACACAAGATTACATCGCTCTTATGGCAAATATGGCGTGCATATCGTAATTCTCTATGTTGTGGCTGTGGATATGTCTGAATGAAGCTGTTAGGAACATTAACGTAAAAGTTACCTATGTCAGGGGTGATGGGTTATGCTAGATTATACTGCACACATGCACAGTGCATGCATAGTGTCATAAGCTTGAGTCCAGCCATCAGCATACAGTATATCGAAGGTCTGCCCCCCTCTGTCTCCCTCAATTCTTGTCCACCTCTCTGCAACACACTTACTAATTAAGGCACAAATATGCCCAAAAAACTAACTAAAGAAAGGTTACCTGTGTCTGAATGACAGAAAGCTGTCACTCAGAGTAATTAAGCCAGATGTTCCCTATGTCGGAAAAGGGCTGTAGACAAATGGCTCCCAAGTTGTGAAACTAGGACTATGTGGAGGTTCAAATGGATCCTTACAGAATGAAGAATAGTTTCCTACTGTCCTCTCTCTCCAGTGCAGATTAGATCAGCCAACTGCATACACTGACCACACACACACACGCACACACACACACACACACACACACACACACACACACACACACACACACACACACAGACCTTCTCGGTATACCTCAATTTCACAACTTTCTAAAACAATTTTACTACTGTGGATTGGAGCCTACATGGAAAAAAACATCCCCAGTTCTCTGACAAAATAAAACAATCCAAAGCCAATTCTCTGCTCAGTTCTATCCATACAGAGGCTTTAAGAACATACTGCTCATATAGTGCATAGACTTGACAAACATACAGTGTATTCTTATCTAACTTTCATCAACTAAGCAAAGAAGTGTATTTCCATATTATGTATAATTTAGCTAGGCATACAATACATTCATCCCTTGATTTTATTTTGATATCCTACCAAACTTTCTGTTTATTTCATTACAATATCAACCTTGCAGACTTGGTTAAGATGTCCGTTCCACCTTATTTTTGCAGAGTAGTTATGTTTTCAACCTGTAGTAAAGTAACTGTGAGCTGGGACTGTTTATTGGCTTGTATTGGCCGTGTGTTAAAGTCAAACTGATGTTCAGGATATAACACTTGACAGCTGAAATGCATATCTCATGTCAGAGCATCTTTGAAAGTACCACAGGGACAGTTTTACAATAGTCCCTGCTCACCGTGTCATTTCCAGACAACAATAATGCAAACACTGGCATTTAAAACAGGCAGCAACATGCTGCACTACCTACCTTTATTGAATATTAGGTTTCTGGATTTTGATTTTTATAGCATACTGAAAGAAATGGAAAACAGTTACATCATGTGAGGTACAAGATCTATTAAAAATGTATAACATGTTCTGGAGAATGGTCAATTTAAAAACTGGAGCTTACCATAAACTGGTACAGCATGGCAGGCCTTACATTATGACTGCAGCACATCTTGGGTGCTTGCCTGAGTCTCCTTTCCTCACCCCTGTGCATGCAGAGGCAAATTGGCACTACATGTTGCTGCCTTGCGTCTCCCTTGGCCTTTTCAAGCTAAAGAGGTCTAATAAAACATCTGAGCAGAGAGTACACGTACAAATGTTCCAAAATGCTAACCATCTTTTGCAAATTATAATAATTAGGGGTTGGTTAATGTAATAAAGTAGCAGCATCAGCACTGTGCAGATACAAGCAGCTACACACAGAAGCAGCTGGGTGTAAACAGCTGCACTGGAGAAATGAAGGGACATAAAACACCAAAACACATTTGTGTTTTTCTAAAAGGTCATAACTGTCAGGGCCGCTCGGCGGCCGCTGCCTCTCCTCCGTTTGTCTCTTCTGTTTTCTCCGTCATATGGGCTCTGCACCTCAGCTGTGTTGCATTCCAGTAATTAGTAATTGGTTTATCTACGCACACAGCTGGGGTGCATCCCGATGATTACCTTCTCCTTATATAAACCTCTGGCAGATGCTCCGTGCTCGCCAGAACATTAACTATCTAACATTAATGAACATTAACTAACATTAACATAGTAACGCGGACACATGTGGTGAGACTGCTACGCTGACAGATACTGTGCGTTTTTGGCTAGATTCTTCCACACATCCTACGCGCTACGCTCTTCACACTACACCCCACCACACCACATATTTTTCATCCGTCTTTGCCAGAACATTACCTAACTTACTTTACAGTACTTACCTGAATTACGTCCTTTTGATTTCCCGGCTGACAGTCCCTGTGCCGTGGATCTCATTTTGAATGTTGTTGAGTTTTTTCTGTTTTTGTGTGAGACGTTCCTGGCTGACAGTCCCTGTGCCGTGGATATCCGTTTTTGTTCGCCTGTCTTCCCTGGTCCTCTACTCCTGTTTCCTGCCGTTAGTTTGTGTGTGCACCTGTTCGTCCTGGTCTCCGTCGTCATCACTCCCCTTCGCTTGTATGTATTATGGACACTGTTATGTTGTTACGTTGTTGTGTTATCTTACATTAAACTTTTTTGTGTACTAGCCCTGGGTCGGCTACCTTGAGTCCTACCCCTAGTTCTCCCTCACCCTCCTGGTGAGGGGGGCTAACCTTAACAATAGCAGGTTAATTAATCTAAGATATCATTATTGCCCTTTCCAAAATCTAAAGAGTTTCATTTAAAAATGAGGTACAAATGTTTTGGATAGTAAGTAGGGCTAGAACAGGAAATGGCTAAATGTTTGATTGGAAAAATAATGATAATAATAATAATAATAGCATTTTAATCTACCAGGGCTTTTAAATAATCATTAGCGTGTTATATTTTTTCCCAAACTAAACATTTTGGGCTGAAGATCTATGTATATCTGATGTTGAAGGAATATAGGTAAAAACGCTGACTGGAAGGATTTCAAAGGTTTAGGGTTCCACTAAAAGTGAAACCACAACAAAAATATGACAAGCAGAAAAAAGAACTGTCTTACAAACTGACACTATTTCCAACATGTCACACTTTTCTGGTGGTGGCATGGTACAATCCAATCTTTGTTTTTGGACTTGATCACTCTTCCAACCACAGACTAAGTTCATATCAAGCAGAGCTGTTGTTTTGTCTTCTCTATTAATGGAAAGATACCTAACATGTTTAATTTTGTGTTTGCGTTGGTGTGGGCCTGTATTTTTTTGTGTGTTCATATCTTTGCCATTTTTACAGGCAAAATGGGGAAACAGAACAGCAAGCTGACCCCCGAAGTGATGGAGGATCTGGTGAAGAACACGGAGTTTAATGAACACGAGCTGAAGCAGTGGTACAAGGGATTCCTGAAGGACTGTCCCAGCGGCCGACTCAACCTGGATGAGTTCCAGCAGCTATATGTGAAGGTGACGCTCCTCTGACTTGCTTTCATGCTGGCAACACACTTGACTGATTATACACATATGCTTCAACACTCATTTTATGTGCTCGTCACACACATGCACAAAGACACGACTAAGGTAGATGTTAGGCCAGATCTGACTATAGTTCATAAGAGAAACAATAACATTCACATTTAGGGCACCTCCAACAACACCTGAAAAGAAATCTAGCTATTTAGCTGCTAAATGCTACACTATGTTCAAACGCTAGTTCCTAAGTGTCCATGTCTTCCATTCGCTGCTGGGTGGATTGTGAACAGTGGGTTTATCAAAACAAATTGAGGTTGATAAGAGTGGTGAGAATGAGCCAAAACAATTAAGTTATTTACCAAAAACCAAAAACAATGAGCTGATAGATGCCAGCGCTGGGAAATTTTCCATGGATTTGTCACCAAAAGCGACCCCTTATGAGGGGTGTCAAGATAAATGTATTCAGACATAACCTTTTTGGTACAGGACTTTAAGTACGGTGCAGATGTGTACCAAATGCAGTCTTTAATAGTAGTTAACAGTAAAGTTTATTTTGCGTGCTGGGCATTTTTTCAAGTTGTTGTTCCCACACGAACATGTGAAGTGGTGGACTACAGAGCAATAAGCACACAACATGTTGAGCTTAGCCAAGCCTCTGGGTAGCGAACATAATGGCCAGTACAAACGAGAAGCCAGAGCTGGAAGACCCTCCCTTATCATTAAGGCCTCGTGTTTGGGAACACTTTGGCTTCATGGGGAAATACAGCACCGGACAAAGGCAAAAGCAGTGTGCCCACAAACTGCTTGAGGTCATTATGTGAACTTGAATATCACTGCTGCAAGGAAGAAACGAGTGTAGTACAAACACTGCTTCCTTCATCATTTAAACACCATTTCCCTGGTTACTGGAGATTTATTAGTTGCAGTTTACAGTATTCTATTTTTTTGTGTTTTATTATTATATATTTTATGCATGTTTAATTTAAAATTCAGTTTTATAAAACATTCATTGTTGATGTTTACACAAGTTCAGAATAGATGACAAGTAGTTTTATGACTTTCATTCTTTTCCCTCACTTTTCCGAAAATGAACTGACTTCAAAACTGAAGTATGAACCGAATCGTGATTTTTGTGTACCTTTACGCCCCTACCCCTTAGTCATTAAACTCTGAGTTCTTCACCAGATACATTAAGTCATTTAATTTATTATTAATATAAAATGTTTTTTAATATAATTTCAGGTTAGGGTGGAGTTTGTTATGTTTATTGTAGGATTTAGTTAATGGTGTAGCTTAATTCAATGTAAAAACAACTGGCCAGTTTTGAGTCTGGAGTTTACAACCTATAATAGCTATCATACAATTCACATCTTCTTTTAGTTCATACCAGTACAGATTTTCTGTGAGCACAGGCTCCATTAGTAGTAGGCTTATTTATAATAGTCATAATGATTGAAGTAAAATTACTAGTAGTTGTAGAAGTAATAGCAGAAGGAACATCCGGAATGGTATCACAGCATTACTTGCTGATGCATCTGTGTCAGCAATTAGCAATTTGTGAATTTTAAAAAGACCAACAAATTCATCAAGTCAAATTCTCTACGGGCATTCCCACCATTTATATTAACAGGATGGGATCACACAAATGTATTCTGAATCACCACAAAAGCCACTGAGGGACAATGTATTCCTGTTATAAATCCTGCTAGAGTTTAGCAGGCATCCTGCCATGTTCTCATTTGCCTCTCCTGTATCTGGGCAGAAAACCAACAACGAGGCAGACATCAGTGGCACTCAGATGATTATCTTCTCATGCTAATATGTAGCTCACCGTATCTCATTACCTCTGACAGAGCAGTGTGAATTTATTCCATGATTTATTCATTTAGTCTGATAAAACATGGAGGAATACATAGAAACAATGATTGTAATGAATGAGAAATGAAAATAAAAGCAATAGCGAGTGGCTATAAATACAGACAAATATTCACTACAATAAGAAGTGCCTCTCCTCCTATTACTAACACTAATTATAAAAATGGTTTTATAAAGATGGTTTTTCCTAGCTTAAAATGAAGGACATTCAAAATCTCAGCATTGACCTACTGAACCTTAAGTTATGTTTTTGGAAAAAATAAATAAAATGAGATGAGACGAGCCTTACAAAAACACAATACATGAAGTATATTACATTATCATACAGTCTGATTAATAAAATTATGAAAAACCTAAAGTCTGTACATTTATCTGTGCTGTTAATTTGCTTTAATCAGTCCATAATACTGTATACATAATAATACTGTGTGTCCCTATCTTGCAGTTACAACAGACTTATCTCAACATCTTGTGTCCTCTTGTACTGTATGCTTTAACTTCCCATGCATTCTCATGGAAGAAAGCACTCTGAGTAGTGTAAGAACAGACATTAATCTTTTATCACTGGTGCCTGAAAATGCCTCATAACCAGAGGGGATTGTTGTTACGTAAGATACGCCTGGACTCTGAGGTCATGGGAGCACTTCCTCTAAATGCCACTGGAGCTTGTGCATGAGCAGAGACAAGAGAAGAAAAATCTTTAAAGCATTGAAAGCAGGTAAAGGTATGGCTCCCATGAATAAAAAAAATAGATATAGATATGACATTATCTATTTGGACCAGTTTATCCTATTAAAACCTGCTGAAAAACATACTTTTTAAAAAATTGAACTACAAAAATAACCTGGACTCCTAGGAAATAGCTCTGATAGATGGATACAAACAGAGAAGAAATCTGATGGAATATCCCTTGAAATCTCTTTACAGCACAATACAATGGCATGTGAGCAACAGTGGCTGGAAAATCTGTAGCCACACATTGGGGGGCAACACCTTGTACGCCGAAAGGGGTCTTGTAGGCTTCTGGGTAAATCCTATTATTGTTGCATCGTATTGGTTCCTAGGCAACAGTGTAGCACTGATAGGGCTTTATTTAAATCCAGGGGGCTGAGAAGTGGAAAAAAGGTCTGCTGCGGTCTCATATTAACGGGACAGATTGTTCCTGTGAAGAGTGACTCTTTGTGTGTTTGTGTTTGTGTTTGTGTTTGTGTGGTGGTGGTGGTGGGGGGGGGGTCATATGTTTGGTAGGAGGGAGATGGAGACAGAACAGTGTGTTTGTGTCGGTTGAAAGCGAGAAACACAGTGGGGCAGAGATGGGAAACATAAGCAAGTGAAAGTGTTTTATACATTATTTATTAGTCATTAGCCTCAATAGAGTCATGCAACAGAGTGAGGAGATATGTACGAGATGAGGTGTGTGTGAAGGTGTGTGTGTGTGAGTCTGTGTCCTTACTGTGTATGCATGCGTGAGATAGGCAGGGTTCAGTTTACATCTGTGCACCGAGATCTTTATTTTTCTACACTCCCACACTCACTCGTCCCCACATCCTCAGATCTCCCCACATTTGTACAGTTCTGCATCTGTGACAGTTTTGCTGGAGCCCTCTCCTCCAAGGTGCTGAACGCACTGTTACCTCCACTCAGCTGCCTGCCTGAGTCAATGTACTGTACTGCTTTGGCTGGACATAGACTCACTGTTCTCTTGCTTTTTTTCCTACCTTCTATGCTCTGTGTCTCACTTCTTTATTTCCCTCTGCCTTTGTGGAGTTAACCATCTTTTAGGTTGTGAAAAGAAAGATACAATACAGCAAGGTGAGGGAAAGGCATCGAAGAACTGGAAAAGAGAAGAAACAGGAGAGAAAGAAGGTGGAAATGATCAGAGGGCAGTTTTTTATATGTTCTGTTTAAAGTTCTCTTTCTTTTGTGTCACAGTGTGCATCTGCACATGGTATCTGCTACAAGCACTCAGCTATCAGGGCCACCTGTTAGATTTGCTTGTCATTCTGTGTTGTAGAAATCTAATCTTTTTTTGTATAATGTAACATGCACATTGACAGTATTCTCCTTACAATTACATTTGATTGGGGCTGGGTGATGATGAATTTCTTGGTATATTATTACTAAAGAACTAATTCAAATGAATGAATCTCAGTTCAGATTGTGTATATAAAATATATACACAATCTGAACTGAGATTCATTGATGATGCTAGATGCTGGATTCAGAATAGTTAAATATAGAGATGCATAAAGGTTTTAGACTAATATTTGATGAAACTGAGATCAATTTCAAATGATAATAGCACAATTTAAATGCCCATTAATATGGTAAATTAAAAGCGAATAGAAACAGATCGTCCACCAAGACATTTTTGTTACTTTCTGTGATGTCATTTAGTTCATACAAGATGTTAAATTGAACACCAGTGCCCATATGCTCTAATGTGTACATTTGGTGATCGACCGTAGCTGGCTAACGCACACACCAACATGCCAGGAACATACTAGCAGTACGTCACAAGAGCTCTCTGAGCTTCTCTCTGTTTTCTCTGTTCTGTGCCATTTCATTCCCTCAGGGATATTGATTCCAGAAATGTACTCAGCTTCATTCACTGAAGAGTTATTGAAGAGGGTTAAAAAGCTACAAGCTTGTTAGTACTGGTCGACCAATATGGGTTTTTAGAGAGCAGAGAGGCCAATGGCCGGTATATAATGCCGTAATGCCGACAGCATGTCTGCCCCCAGCCAATTTATGCTCTGACAAAATAAGAGTAGATGGATCAGCACTACAGCTAATCTACAACAGCTTCATCCATTTTGGCAATTTAGCCCCTGTGTTCCCTCAGAGGTCAGCACTAACAAAATGGCTGTCTGTTGGAAAACAGAGCAAATTTATGAGTCAGAGTGACAAAATGAGTGTTGAACCAGCAAATCTTGTCATTTTCCCTGATAAATGGCTTAAACTCTGTTATCAAATTTGTTCATTTTCAGCACAGCAGCTATTCAAATAATGGAGTAATTGTTTCAGCACCAATCTGAAATGTGATGAACTGTGATGCTGACAATATATTAGTTAGACCCCCTATGCCATTTTAGCTTTTATACATGTGTAATTTTATT